CACGGTGGAGACTTTAACTGGAATATATTCGCTAGCGGGGTGGTGAATGATTTTTCTAAAAAATTCCCGAGACACGTCAACTTTTAAATGTATTTACCTACATTTTGCAAGTAAGTGAAAAATATAGCCCTTCAGGGGTGGCTGAAAACCACCCGACAGTTTTTTCAAACTATGGCTTGTGACCCCTCATTGTAAATCTGGTGGAAAGAGGAATCCAACGACTGATCAAATTTTAATTTTAGTATGTTTGTAGGGTTGCATACAATTAAAACGTAATTTTATAGTTTAATTTATTTTAACGCAACAATTTCGTACTAAAATGTGTGTTGTTTAGTTTTGGAATGTAAAACTTACTTTCATATGTCCCCACAAAAAATTCCAAGCAATTTTTTGCCACAACTGATATTTGTTATTTTTTGCTAGTGTTTTTACACGGCCGCAAAGAGTAATTTAGTTTGTATGCTGTATTCAGAGTTTGAAACGAAGTGTTATTTCAAATTGGCGAAAATGTCTTGTCAAACTGAATCACTAAAAATCGAAATTTAGATGATTGGATATGGTATTAGGGCGCGAACTCAAGGTGAAGTTGTTCGCTTGTTTCGAGAAACGCATCCTGACTTGCCACCACTAAATCAAGGTACCATTAGTAAAATTGAGACACAATATCGAGAGATGGGTCATGTCTGAAAGTACCGAGTAAGAGGCAGGCTGTTGTTGATGACGACACGAAGTTGAATTGCTTGCTTGCTCTAGAAGAAAATCAATCACTGCAGCCCGTCAACTGCCCGTGATAGTAATCTTAATCACAAAACAGTTTTAAAAATACTTAAATATGAAAAAAACGCCCATATAAAATACAGCTGTTGTTTTCTCTGACGAGCCACTTTTACATTAAATGGGCACGTAAATCGCCAAAAAATTGACGTTACAGGGCTGAAGTGAACCCCCTTTGATGAGGGAACTTCATACTCAGCGCCCACAGAAAACTAATGTGTGGGCCGGAATAGTATGAAGATAGAATTGTGGACCATTTTTCTTGATGACACTCTTAATGGAGCAAGATACTTGCGTTTTACTCCAGCACGAACTAATGCCAGTGCTATGTCATTTATTTCCAAACCCCTTAAACCCTAACTCTGACTGACGAGAGGCTATGGTTTCAGCAAGATGGGGCTCCACCACACTATGCTGCCATTGTTCGTCAGTATCTGGACAGAATTTTTCCCGGTAGGTGGATTGGGAGGCGAGGTAATATTGAGTGACCAGCAAGATCTCCAGATCTTACGCCACTGGATTTCTTTTTGTGGGGACATCTTAAAAGTAGGGTTTACATTCAGAAACGTACAATTGTTACTGAAAATAAATTTAATTTTTAAATTGTTTTAATTGTATGCAACCCCATAAACATACGAAAAATTAAAATTTGATCAGTGCGTTGAATTCCTGATTCCACAAAGCTTTTACAATGAGGGTCTGAAGCCATAGGGTTGCATTTGAAAAAAAATCATATCGAGGGTGGTTTCAGCCACCCCTGAAGGAATATATTTTTCATATTACTTGCTAAATGTAAGTAAATACATTTAAAGTTGACGTGTCTCGAGGAAGTTTTGAAAAATCATTCACCACCCATATAGCGAACATATTCAGTTAAAGTCTCCACCGTGGCGTATATGCCATACATGGTATGAAAGAGTATTTTAGTAGTAGTATTTAGGTTTTAAGTCTCACCTGTACACCAGAAAAATATACACAGCTCCATTTGAAATACGAAAGATTGGTCGACTTCCAATTAAACCGAAAGTTGTGAAAATACCCGTGGCTAAAAAAATTCATTAATATCACTACCTACTAATTTCTTTATTAATAAATAAAGAATTTCTTTATTAATAAATAAAGAGGTTAGTGGCTATTTACATGTATCCTGTGTCACTCTGTATATACATTTATACTTCCCCTTACGTATACCTCCAACTTCAGGAACTTACAGAGTAGTTTCTCCTGTTTGTCAGTCAATAATTCTTACCGAGCATTATGGATGGGCTTCAACTTCGTTGTTGAAGGTTTGTTTGTGTGTCCCCTAATTTGTCACCGGCCCACCGTTCACCAACTTTACCGTCTATTTGATGACATCTTTAGTGGAGAATTATGGTAATACTCAATGAAAATGGTTAAACCTATTCAACGAGATCAACTCAATATATTAAATCGATTGACATGAACGAACGTATCAAGAACAAGCAACTTGAATCTTTGAAGAATTTTACGATTATTAGCGATAATTCAAAAATGTTTCTGGAATGGTTCATCCGTCCCATTCTTAAATTTTCTATTAATAATTCCGTTATCCCAATACGAACTCTATTTAATCATGGAAGTGGAGGCCGGTGAAATTTGAGGTGCTCGTATTTTCGTAAGGGGGGATGGAACCTGCATCATATTTTAAGGGGTGATTACTAGACTTGAGAAGGCTAAGATAGCAAAAAAAAACAGAATTAAACTTTTAGCGAATATTTTTTCAAAAATCAGCCTCCACTGGATGATTGTCGCTCTATTTTACAGGATCCAAATACATAACATATGTATTGTGAATTGTTGATAAAAATGATATGCAATACAAGCCTTTGTTCAAAATTAATCTCACTGCTGCAGTACTCTTTCTCATGTAGGTGCATAGTACACAATTGGGAGAAACAACTATTATATGCCAGAGCCGTATTTAGGTTCACGGCAACGTCGAAACCCGAAAAATAACACTCTAAAGAACTTACCCATAAAAACTCATCATTGGGCCTAAAACGTACGTAGATGATTCACAATACACTATAAGGTTATAATTAAAGTAATTAAATTTTTCGCAGATCACACGTCTGTGAAGAGGTGACAATCCCATGTACTATGCTAGAAAAAAAGACAGCAAGGACCTAGTTTTCAGAAGACTAGAATAAGGAGACAGCGCTGCGGCTTTTCGCTGTATAACGCGACGGGCTCGAATATGTCCACCTCCAGAGGCGCTGTAAGCAGTTGTGTACCATGGTATACAAATAGATATCTACACTATACGCGTATACCGTGGTTCTGTATTCATCTGTGTGTTTAGAGGTTAGAGTCCATGTAAGATAAACGTGGTGCAGACCCATGTATTGGTGATGATAGTTTTCGTTAATTTGTTGTTATCTTTGCAATTACAAATGTTCGTAATTATCATTATGAAAATGTACTCAAATATTTCATGTTGCATTACTTCAATGTTAACAATGCACAACAAACAAACGTCATTTCATACAAACATCATCTAGTAATTTAGAGAGTAATGTCGGGTTATTCGGTAACTTCGGAACGCTTCTTGTATAAATAATATAATAAAAATAAATAAATCACACACCACAGAAATTGACATTCTCCCTCTAAGAGTCATTACGACTGTGCAGAGGAGAATACACATGGAGAAAGACGGTGGACACACAACCAAACCCTGTGACAGATTCAATTGCTACAGGCGGGATTCGAACCCGCGCGGATGTAGCTCTCCCGGGTAATCTTAATCACTACTCACCTGGCGCTTTACCCACTGAGCTATCGCCGCGGTCACACAATACAAACACAGCACTTTCGAACCATATTTATTTAACATTCGATTTTATTTTTATTAAAGCCAAGCGGCATGTAAGCATACTGTGACATACTTGTGAAGTGTCATTAGTGACAGCTGACACTTATTAAGTTTTATAGTTTAAGTACATACTCACGGCCGCTTTTGCATAGTTCACGATTTTTATTGCCGGCAAGAAAATTGCAGCAATTTTTACTGAATGCACACGTATTTATGTCTGTTTGGACAATTTCTTGACAAATAAACATAAATACGCGTCACGCGTTAAAAATTGCTGCAATTTCTCTTACCGGCAATAAAAATTGCGAACTGTAAAGCAGCCTTTAGTCTATTTAGTTTATACACTGGCTGTTAGTAAAAGAATTGTATGGAATGACATATATTAAATATTCATCACGTGACGTCGGGTACACCACTGCTTACAGCGCCTTCTGAGGCGGACAGATATGAGCCCATGATACCGAACGAGTTCGGTCTCTTTAGTTCTAGTCTTGTTGGAGTTGCACTAAACCAAATTTGGGTTTCCCAAGTACATACAAACATACTCCTTACTTAGTAATTATATTATGAGTCTCACTTTTCTTTAAATACAAATAAAAAATTGGAGCTCTTTAGATATAGGTCTTTAGATATAAATATACAAAACTACACATTATGTCCAAAATTGGTGATGAAAGTATTACTATCTTGAAAACTATAATAGATAGGAAAATAGGTTAAATTGGCAAAACTGTAGAGAACTTTATGAGGAACTTAACCCCGCTTAGACAATGCTTCTATCTTTTTTTAGTTTTTGAGATATTTTGGAAAAGCCAAACATGCATTTTCGAAAATCCACTAAAACTTATTTATTTTTAGAGTTTTTAAAACCCATGAATACGTTATTAAGGCAACTTTTTAAGGATATTTATATTCTTTAATTGAATTAAGGTTTCGACGTTTCGACTTTCTGAAACCATTGGATGTTGTGCTATTTCGGAAATATTCAGTTTTCTTATTCCGATGATACCTAATACTCAAGCGAAAAATTAATTTCTGCTAACAAAAAAGCATAAAAACCCCTTTCAGGAAATGTGCCGCAATTTAAAATTAACAATTTTAACAACACTTGTGACTCACTGAATTCCTTTCTGGTAAAAAAGGAAAATGTAACATTGTTAATACATTTTAATTCAACATTAACTAATTAAAAATAAATAACTTAACTCAAGAGGTTATTATTAAGAATATTATTATTAAAAATTAAATCTAATTAAATAGAATATAATTAAATATGGCCACCAATATCTCTTTTAAAAAGTGACCTGAAAAGCGAAAGCCCAAAGAAAGCATTGTCTCCAAACTTTTCAGGAACTTATTTGAATTTTAACTTTTGCAGCACTTTAGTCGGAAAATGATACTTCGACTTCGAGAAATGATACTTCAGGCTAAAAAGAGAATTCCACTTCGAACAATAAAACAGTTTACTTATAATTTGACATATTTTTAGCACGGCTCTGATAACACGTTGAATAGTATGACAATTAATACCGGCACTTGTCGCATACACTGGTAGTGTTAATTATAAATTAAGTACTGACTAATATTAACTGTCGTACTATTCAACATGTTATGGACCTCCTTTATGAGTGCAGTGTTATAAAATTATTTTTTTAAGTTATAATATATAATATTATTCGTAGTATCATTTTATTTTTATCTTCAAGACTTCCAAACTCAAGTAAGTTTGGAGAAAATATTTATTCGGGCTGTCACTTTTCAGATCACTTTTTAAAAAAGATATTGGCAGTCCTATTCCCTAGATTTTTTATACTAACAATCTAATAAACTCTAAGTTTAGTTATTTATTTCTAATTAGTTATACTTCAGTTGCATTTTATGTTGCATTTTTCGATATCTCAAAATCCAGAAAAGATAGAGACATTCTGCATTCTGTATTCATAAAATTGTCAAGTTTGCCAATTTAATCGTTTTCCTATTTCTTATAATTTCCAAGATAAAATATATTTATGTGTGTAATTCTGGACACAATATATATCATTAGACTAGGAAGACGAGACGAATCGAACAATAATTGCATAATATACTAGGTGTCAAAAAAAAATCACAGAAATTAGAGTTACTTTAGAGAGAGGAAGTCGGATGTGATAACATTTCTTGTACACGGGCTCTTTAATGTTAAAAAGCAGCAGATTATTCCACATTAAAACTGGACTAGTAATTTTCCAAATGTCTGTTTTTGGGAATATACTTTAACAATACGTTATATAATAATCTCGAGGCCATATTCAGATTCCTTGAAAAATTCTGCATAGCTTAACGTTTGATTTTCTTTCTAGATAAAAAAATAATCCAATATATGAGCACTCAAATGTCACATTTGGGACACCCTATACATAAGTACTGTGTTTTTAACCAAATTTATAATTGAATTAGTAAAATATTTACAAAATCCTTGTTTTCCACCCAAAATTGAGTGATTCAGATAAGACAAAGTAACTAAAAATGAAACCTGGTGAATCCGAAAAAAAGTTTTTTCGTTTTACAACCATGTTTTAATAATAAAAAAAAAGGAATACTACTGCTTTGGTTCAATACATATTATTTCTGAGTTATTCCTTCAGTTCAAATTCCGAAAGGAGTCCCAACAAGTTGCTATAAAAACAAGAGCCATATTTTCGGAACAAAAAGAGGATATTTTCTTTCAAGTTCTCCTGAAATCGACACCGTCAGTTTGCCGGATTGGGACACCACCCTTCAGATGCCTTGACAAAGGACAGGTGAAACCGAAGCTTTTATATATCTGGTTCTGATGCGACGCTCAGGTAATTTCATACGCTCCTATCTGTGTTAGAAATCAGCCGGCAACGTTAAAATGTCAATAAGTTACCTCTTCAAATTGTGATATGCCAGTCCCAGGGAAGGATTGTGGGTTTTCTAAGTACATCGCTAGAGAGCGTTTATAGATTTTTGTCGACAAAAGTGGATAAATTACACTTGAACTCAATGTTGCAATTAATTATTTTTGTGCTAATATTACCTACACATTTTGATTGAAATAGTTTAGCCTATATTATTTATTAGATAATTTTTTTTATTAAATAAAATACAGGTTACAATATATCTATAATTTGGCACACTGACAAGAGGGTGTCTATTTTTACATTGTTAAAATTGTTTTTTTTTTATTTTGCTTACATAACATCAATTTCAAAATTGAAAATGGTACGCCCTGTATATTATTGCATATTTTAAAATCTCTATAAAAAAGAACTTTAACAGCGATAATAAATTAAAATTGTATGTAACAAGTTATAAACAAATTAAAATTAAAATATTAATGAGTAATAATCGCGTTAACCTAAAATTTATAAACTTTCTAATAAATTTTGACAATGACTTTTGAAACTGACAATGAAAGTTAATTGGTTGGTATGACTTAGTTTTGAAAATATATACTCGTATTTATTAATAATACTGCACGGATTTACGTTTTAAATTTTAAAGATGATGTCATGTAACCGAAATTAAAAAAAAATCTAATAACGCGAAAATATAAAAAAGCAAATAGGCACCCTTCCACAAAACTATATTCTTTGTGTGGCTTACGGTTTTCAAGAAATCTCCTGTCTAAAACACTGTACGCGATATTAATTTCACATTTTAAACTCTTGCTCAATAAAATATTTCATATCCTCTGGAGTTAACGAACAGTTAATAGAAAAATTATTTGTGATGTAAACATAATTAAACTACCGAAATTAAAGCAGAAATAGATGAAATGAACTATGTATGCTTATATTTATGTATAGTAGGTATGTACAGGGTTAGTTTCTACAATCCGACAAGTTATTGCGAGTTTATTATTGAAATTAGAAAAACGTTCCTCAGACAAAAGTTGTAAATTTTTGCATAAGTTTTTATAATAGGTACTCTAAGAAAAAAAAAACAATTGAACATCCGAAACCATGAAACTGAACCAAAGTTATGTTTTTTATTTAATGGAATATCCTGTACATTATTACATATTCTAATTCCACAAAGTTTTCTCTTTTCAAAAATATATGTATATGTTTCCCATGCGATGGTCACAAGATATTTCATTTAGAAATGTTATTGAAAAAGTAGTTAGCGACAACGGATCACATTACTCTGTCTCTGCCTCTGACGACCGGACGCGGAAAAACAAGGACGTTAACAGAAATGCCATTAAAAGTGTTAAAGTATTATTTTGTAAAATAAAATCCGGTGTCGCGTTTATTAACACTTTCAAATGAAATATGTCGCGACTTTGCTAAAGCAAACATAGACATGTTATATATATATTTTAAAGGGAACAATTCAAGGAACCGCATATTTATTAATATACAGGGTGTTCTATTCCAAAAAAAATGATTTTATGCAAAAATCTATAACTTTCTTCTGAGCAACTTTTCTTATTTTCAATAATAAACTAATAATAAACTCGCAATAACAGTGTGCGCTGTTTTCTTGCGCACCAAGCTGTCGGTAGCCATTCGAGCTGGAGTAGATATAATATGGGAGGAGCATTAGCCTAGCAACATGGTGATATCTGTACATAAACGCAGTAAAGAATATGGAAAGAGTGCAAAAGCGTAGTATCTATACATACAAGTATATGCAATATCTTCTATACATACAAGTACTATATATTCACTATCTATACATACATATATTCAAAAAAAATTAATTAGCAGTAAATAGAAAATTAACGAATAAAAATTAATAACATAATAAAGTATTATATTTTTCAATTAAACATATCATTTATAAAGAGTAAAGACTAATCTAATCTAACCTAACCAATATTGGTTACTTACTGACTATTATTTCCAACCAATTATTGGCATTATTCTTCTATTTTATCACAATATATAAAAATATTATCAATTTAAAAGTATAAACAGGACTAAGGAAATTGTACAATATTAACCCTATATTAATATACCTGA